CTGCCTCTGCCTCCCGAGTGCTGGGATTAAAGGCCACCAACGCCTGGCTCAAATTCAAAGTTTGAAGAACAACAAATAGTATATAATTTTATTCCATTCTATGACTAAGAAGTATCTAATATGTATGGGACAGCACTCATTTTCAAATGCAATCTTATTCATTATCATACTCCAAAGATAGCTTGAAGAAAACTGTCAGCTGAGCTAACAGGATTTCCTTCACACAGTTCATAAAAACAGGACTTATTTTAATTCATTAGGAATTATAAACAATAAGGTGGTGGAAACGGCTCACTGAGTAAGGCTGAGGACCGGAGTTCAGGTGCCTGGCAGTGAGTGACCAACCTATAACCCCAGCACTCTGAACCAGACACAGGGGATGCCTGAGGAAACGAGCCAAGTAAGCAAGCTCTAAGCCAGTGGTTCTCAGCCTGCAGGTTGTCATCCTTTGGAAGTAGAATGACCTTTTCACAGGGGTTGAATATCAGGTATTTACATTATGATTCATAACAGCAGCAAAACTACAGTTATGAAATATCAACAAAAATAATTTTTATAGTTGGGGGTCACTACAACATGGGGAACTGTATTAAAGAGTCACAGCACTGGGGAGGTTTGGGCTAAGGGAGAGACACTGGCTCAGTAAATAGTGGGAGACAGTCCAGGAAGTCGCCAGAGGTCATCCTCCAACTTCCATCAGCACATATATATCTTCCAGCACCCAAGATGCAGAGGTAGGTGACTCTTGGTGACTTTAAGGCCAGCATGATCTACACAGTTCAGTTCCATACCAGACAGGGCTACCAAATTTAACCCTATATTCATTCATTCATTCATTCATTCATTCATTCATTTTTTTTTATTTTGAGTGCTGGGGTTACAGCCATCTGCCACAACACCCAGCTGTAATTTAAATTTAATATTATATCCTTATCGTTTTCTGTGCAAACAGTAACTGTTATTTCAAGGTAGGAAAGGTAAGTTGGTGTTTCTAGTTTCTCTTAACTATGCTATTCTGTCCTCAGCTAGGTTAGAATGCCTTTACTTCTACAAAGGTGCTTTTCTAATCCATTCTGAATTGTCTCTTCAGGATGAGTGTGCACTGACATCACACACTCACTTATGAATTGTCTCTTCAGGATGAGTGTGCACTGACAACACACACTTATGAATTGTCTCTTCAGGATGAGTGTGCACTGACAACACACACTCACAAATGGTCTCTTCAGGATGAGTGTGCACTGGCATCACACACTCACAAATGGTCTCTTCAGGATGAGTGTGCACTGACATCACACACTCACAAATGGTCTCTTCAGGATGAGTGTGCACTGACATCACACACTCACAAATGGTCTCTTCAGGATGAGTGTGCACTGACATCACACACTTACTTATCTAGGACTTACCTCTCACAAGATCAACATCTATGAGGTCTGGTTTCACGTGTGCTGTTTTCTTTGGTTTATTCCTTAACCCCTGTAATATGTTAAAAGCAGTATTGGAATTCTGCATATATTTTGCTTAAATCCAAAACAGCAAAAAAGGAACCAACTTATAACAGTCTTAACTTAAAACAAAATCTTGAAGTAACATTATTTATTAAGTAAAAAGATTAATATATTGTGTTACAAACAGAACACAATTATAGCATTCCAATAATCTTCATTATTTTTCCAAAAGGAATGTTTAGGGATATATGTAACATGCAAAGCCTGTTTATTATGGAGAGTAAACTTCCAAATCAAAGACCGTCATACACCAAGCAAGTATGAGCGTACAGGGACCAAGAGCTAGAGATGACACGGGTTTAAAGGACTGTTAAATTATTTGTTCAATTAGAAATTGTGCAGTAGATATGGAGAGAGTGGACAACCTTGTCATGTTCCTGATTTGAGTTTCTCTCCATTTAGTTTAATGTTGCCTTTGTTTTACCATATATTGCTTTTATTATGTCGAGGAATGTTCCTCAAGACCTTTATCATGAAGGGGTGTTGGATTTTGTCAAAGGCTTTTTCAGCCTAGTGAGATGATCATGTGTTTTTCCCCTCAGTCTGTTTATATGGTGGATTACATTGATAGATTTTTGAATGTTGAACCATCTCTGCATCCCTGGTATGAAGCCTACTTAACCACGGTAGATGATTTTTCTGATATGTTCTTGGATTCAATTTGCCAGTATTTTATTAAGTATTTTTGCATCACTGTTCATGAGGGATATTGGTCTGTAGTTCTCTTTCTTAGTTGTGTCTTTGTGTGGCTTGGGTACCAAGGTAATTGTAGCCTCGGAAAAAGAGTTTGGCAATGACCCTTTTGTTTCTATTATGTGGAACAGTTTGAGGAGTACTGGTATTAGCTCTTCTCTGAATTTCTGGTAGAATTCTGCACTGAAACCATCTGGCCCTGGGCTTATTTTGGTTGACAGACTTTTGATGACTGATTCTATTTCATTGGGGGTTATAGGTCTATTTAAATTGCTTACCTGTTCTTAATTTAATTTTGGTAAGTGATATCTATCCAGAAAATTGTCCATTTCCTTTAAATTTCCGAATTTTGGGGAGTACAGGTTCTTCAAAGTATGACCTGAAGATTCTCTGGATTTCCTCAGTGTCCGTTGTTGTGTCCCCCTTTTCATTTCTGATTTTGTTAATTAGCATGCTCTCTCTCTCTGCCTTTTGGTTAGTATGGATAGAGATTTGTCTATCTTGTTGATTTTTTCAAAGAACCAACTCTTTGTTTCATTGATTTTTTGTATTGTTTTCTTTGTTTCTACTTTATTGATTTCAGCCCTCAATTTGATTATTTCCTGGTATCTACTCCTTTGGGGTGAGTTTGATTCTTTTTGTTCTAGAGCTTTCAGTTGTGCTGTTAATTCTCTAGTGTGACTTTTCTCCATTCTTCATGTGGGCACCTAGTGCTATGAAATTTCCTCTAAGCACTGCTTTCAAAGTGTCCCACAAGTTTGGGTATGCTGTGTCTTCATTCTCGTTGAATTTTAAGAAGTCTTTAATTTTGTTTTTTATTTCTTACTTGACCCAGGAATGTAGCAATTGTGCATTATTCAATTTCCATGAGTTTGCAGGGTTTCCTCAATTTGTGGTGTTGTTGAATTCTAACTTTAAACCATGGTGATTTGATAGGATACAAGGGGTTATTCCAAATTTTTTGGTATCTGTTGAGGTTTGCTATGTTGCCAAGTATGTGGTCAATTTTAGAGAAGGTTCCATGTAGTGCTGAGAAGAAGGTATGGATGGAATGTTCTATAGATGTCTGTTAAGACCAATTGGGTCATAACTTCTGTTAGTTCCTTTGTTAAGTTTCTGTCTGGTGGTCCTATCTAAGGGTGAGAGTGGGGTGTTGAAGTCTGCCACTGTAAGTATCTGAGGTTTTATGTGTGATGAGCTTTAGTAATGTGGACTATTTAGTAAAATTTAGTAATTTTTGGGGCATAGATGTCCAGAATTCATGTTGATGGACTTTTCCTGTAATGAATATAAAATGACTTTCTTATCTATTTTGATTGATTTTAGTTTGAAATCTAATTTGTTAGATATTAGGATTAAGGAGATGCCTTGATAGAGGAAGCCAGTATTATAGGTTTGGAGAGAGGTCTGGCACTCGACAAATGTTAGGGGATTCACAGGGATGACCCCAACTAAGAATTTAGGCAGTGGTGAATAGGCTGCCTTTGATGCTCTTCCCCTATAATGGGATTGATGACTATCTTGGTTACCATCCTAGAGCCTTCATCCAGTAGCTGATCAAAGCAGAAGCAGGCACTTATACCTAAACACTGAGCCATACTCCTGGAATCCAGTTTCAGAGAAGGAGGAGGGATGAGCAAAGGAGTCAAGACTGTGCTGGAGAAACCCACAGAAACAGCTGACCTGACCTAGTGAGAGCACGAAGACCCTAGTCATAAAGCTGGGGAACCAGCATTGGACTAACCAAGCCCTCTGAATATGGGTGCCAGCTGGGAGGCCTGAGCAGTCTATGGGAAGTGGAACCAATGTTTATTCCTAGAGCACAAATGGACTTAGGGAGCCCATTTCCTATGGAGGGATATTATTGCAGCCTAGATACACGAAAGGGGGCCTAAGCCATCCCCCAAATGATGTGACAGACTTTGATGGTTCCTTGTGGTATCTTTGGGGTGTGGGTGGGGTGTATTTTGGGGGGTTGGTGGGAAGCATGGGAGGATGGGAGGGCAAGGGAATGGGAAGATTGATATGTAAAATAAAATTGTTTCTAAAATTAAAAAAAAAATGTGCAGTTGTCCTTTGTTCCCACCAAGTGACAATGGCCCCTGAAGGTTAAGAACTGTTTGCATATAAGTTAAGCAAGAGCTCAGGGTAAGTCAGAATTAGCTGACATGTCTAAACCAAAAGTATACCCTGAGTCAAGATGCAATTAGTCTTTGACCCCATCACATGTTCTGTCCATTTCAGACTGTAAGCTACCCAGAGACACGAAACCAGACAAAGATGGATTCTACACTAACAATAGACTAACAGCACTTTTATACAGGTGATCCTCATGTTTTCAAATTTTAGACTCTAAAACATATATTCTCTGTGGTTTTGGCCTCCTTTCACACATAAGAATGTAGACTTGGATATTTCCTTGATATAGACTTTATTTCCTCTGGATTTAGTTTTGTAAATTTTCTGTACTGGACATACTAATTTACACTGCCACAACAGTGTGTGATAGGATTCTGTTTTGCTCTGCAACCTTCTCTGCACTTTTTTTAAAAATCCCTATTCCCAGACGGAGAAACGGCAGCTCAGTAACTTTCATTTGCCTGTTCCAGCTCTTCTCCTTCTCCCTTTTCCTCTTCCTCCTCTTCATCTTCTTCTTTGCTTACTACTAATTTTAATTTTGCATATATGGTGTTTCTCCTGCATGTATGTCTATTTTGTACTTTCAATGTCCATGGAAGCCAGAAGAGGGTGTCAAGTCCCCTGGCACTGGAGTGTGTTAGAAATCAAATCTAAGCCCTCTCTCTGGAAGAGTAGCCAGATCTCTTAACCATTAATCACCATCTCTACAGTCCCTTCACTTTGAGTTCTTCCCATTTTCCTTCTTTCTTCACATACTCATTAAATACTGGTATTTCTCAATGTTCTCTTCTTGGTCATTTTCTTCCCTCATCCAGTGACATTCTTTTTACTTATAGACTCTACATATGATATAAAACACTCAATGTATGTACACATAATACTTCATATAAACAATACACACATGCCTATACATACACATATGTTGCATACCAAGGACTCCCTGGCCATTTCTGAAGCAATTTTAAATCTCTCTTTCAATACTTCCTATCATATCGATCACTGCCTTAAGGAATTTATAAAAATATAAATTTAATTTTCTGCTTCAAATCTTTCAGTATCCTCCCAATTGTTACAAAGTTATGGCTAAGTCCTTGGGGTAGGTTTCAAACCTAACCACACACTGACATTTTTATTTCTGGCTTTACCATTAGCCATCCTCATCACCTTCCCTAACCCAATTGCCAAATCAAATTCTCAAGGGTTCCTTACTCAGTCTTCCTCCCTGAATGTTTTCCTGATGCCCTCACCTACATGGGATGCCTTCCCTGTGACTGTGGAGAAGGCTTCCAATTCCTTTCGTAAGATGCTTTGTCTACCAACTTTTCCTCACCTCACACACCTTCCTTTTACATTGCCCTCTAGAGACTGAACACATGTGCCGATCTCTTCACTGATTTTATCTCATTCATAATAAAATACCTGACCCAAAAAACTATAGCTTTTTCATCTTTCTGTCCTGGTAACGTTTAACCCCGTTCTAAAGTATGCCAGAAGTGTGCTTGATTCAGCAGCACAGATACTAAAATATGCCAGAACTTTGCTAAATGAATGTATAAATTCTTCATAAAAACTTTAAATATTAAAATTATTAAGTATCAAAGAATAATCTATTTCACAGACGATATGGTCTGAACAGCAACAAATCTTTTGAACAGATTTTTAAGTAATTATAGACACTAGATTTTAACATAATATAAATATTTCTATATTAAACAGAAAATGGCAAGTGATTACAGTAAGTCTCTAGCTCCAAATTAAATTAAGCTCGTGCAAGAACATACTGATTAGTAGCTAAGCATATGAAAAATATATAAATTTTATTATCAAAGAGTGCAAAGAAACAACAAATTTAGTTTAAAAAATGTTTTTTTCATGCTAGCAAGATAGTCTATGAGAATATCCAATCAGAATAAGACAAGTAGTCAGTCACATGTCCAAGAAGAAAATGCCTGCAATCAAAGCATTTGAACTACTATTCTATTTCCTGAAGCCCTTTTAAAATTCAGCAACTCTCTGCATCCCAGCCACTCTGTTAGTAGCATCGAAGAGCAACCTCTATTAAGCAAAGCGGCGTCTGCAGAGCCACTCAGGTGGGAAACATCCTGAACACTTACCAGTGTAATAAACTGTACAGAGCAATGACAGCATCAAAGGGGAGGAAAAGCAAACTAGAAGTATAAGGTGACAAGTGAAAGGGGAAAGCTGGCAAAAAATAACCATTAGAATTCAACTTCAAAAGAACGGAAGATGCTAAAGAGTAAAACAAAAAATTAAAGGTAAGCCTATAAAGTCATAGGTTTCTCTCTTAATATGGTAAAAATAAATGGAATGGCAAAGTGACTGACAATTTATGAAATTGTTGCAGAATAAATAGAATGAAACAAAGTTGTTACCTTGATTTCTCTTTGTTCAACAGATTTTTCCCATATTTGTTGATCATAGGCTCCAATCTATGAAGACAGACAGACAGCAGAGTGTTAAACGAGCTCTTGAAAGTCACAGGGCACTCACTGAACACACACAGACTGTGGCTCTCAATGAGCTGCTTACAGAATGGCCAGTATCAGCATCATCTTTGCAACCTGTTACAGAGTGGAAACTTCTAGGTTCACAGTAGAATTACTGGATCAGAAATATGGCTGTGCGGTTCAAAAACTCATTTAAGATAATATTGAAATTTGAAAAACAAGCCCTAAGGAACCCTTCAGTTTAAATAAGTGAAATTACCACAGTGCTAGTACAGTCAAGAAAAAAAACAACAATCCAAATGACAAATCATAAACATGTAGGTCACAAAGTTGTTTCTTTTTGAGACAGGGTCTCTCTCTGTAGTCTAACTGGTATGAAATTCCCAGCAACCCTCCTACACCAGCATCCTGAGTTGTGAGACTACAGATATGAGCCACCACAAAATCAATAATAAATTGGTGAAAATACAGCTCCTTCTCTGTTACTATTAGACTGGAAAGTTCTTTGAACTCCACTTTGACCAGGGCACAATTGCTATAACCCAGGCAAAACTGGCCCTGCCGCTCACCCACCTGAACATGGCAGGTCTATGTACCCTGGCTCTTTAAGAGAAAAACTCTACTCACTGCACCCTCTCTTTCCTGATGTTCCTCTGAAGGGGCAGCAGGACGTTTCTGTCTTTCCCTTCCTCCCCTACCTTCTGTCCTCTCTCTGTCTCTGTGTCCCTTTACCTCTTGTCTCTTTCCTTCCCCTCAATAAAGCTTTCAATATGAGTCACATCCACAGGTCTGTTTCCCATCCTCACACCGTCCGTCACTGCAGCAGGACCTGTCACATGTGGTCCCAACCCGCTTTATTCCTAACAATAATGACCAGCCATTCTTTAGTGTTCTTACTCAAGTTATTTGCTTAAATCTTGTCTTTAGTTCACCCTTAATTCTCTATATCTAAAAGCACACAATCAATCACAACCCTAAACTGGTCACTGTGGTGGTTTAAAAGAAAATGGCGCCCAAAAGGAGTGGCACTATTAGGGACCATGGCCTTGTGGGAGGAAGTGTGTCACTGTGGAGGCAGGCTTTGAGGACTCATATGCTCAAGCCACTCCTAGTGAGACAGTTTACTTCCTGTTGTCTTTGGATCAAGATGTAGCATCCTCCAGCACCATGTCTACTGTCATGATACCATACCAGCCACTATAATCCAAGCCATGATGATAATAGACTAAACCTCTAAAACTGTAAGCTGCCAACTTAACTAAATGTTTTCCTTTATAAGAGTGCCATGGTCCAGAGGCAGGTGGATCTCTGTGAGTTCGAGACCAGCCTGGTCTACAAGAGCTAGTCCCAGGACAGCCTCCAAAGCCACAGAGAAACCCTGTCTTGAACGCCCCCCCCACCAAAAAAAAGAGTACCATGGTCATGATGTCACTTCAAGGCAATAGAAACCCTAACTAAGACAGTCATATACGCAAGCAAAACACCCATTCACATAATATAATTGTATAACCATTCCAATGCATCAAATATTTTAGTAAAACAATAACCCAAACTACTGGAGAGTTACATAGTAATATATTTAAATGATTGTTTTATAAAGCTGTTTCCATATGCAAAAGAATGCCTAAGTTCTCTTTTAGAGAACACTGTTTTATCTCAAGGTGGTTCAAGTACACAAACACGGAAATAACTTTTACTCAACCCTAAAATTAAAGAAAATAAAGCCAATGCCTATGCAAATTCACTACTCAGCATAACATACGACACCACCACCAAGACATACAGAAAGTGGAAGAGCCCTCATATAAAGCAGTGTGTAACAGTCGGTGGCTTCTTGAGATACTTTGTATTGAGACACTCTTGTAAAACTAACAGGAAACCCCAAGAAAAGGATAGATGGGAGGTTTTCCTATACAAATTACTAGGATGAAATGGGTTATTTGACTGGAGAAACTTCTACTCAATGATTGATGGGAGGGAGAAACAGCAGCTTCCACTATAAAACAAAGCCTTATAGTCTTAGGACCATGGATCTGGAACAACTTGCAGAGCTGAACAGCCACCATAAACAGCAAACAGGTTTCTTGGTTTCTGTTTACAGTGACACAGAAACACCTGGAAGGATCAACTAAGTCAACAAACTTGACAGCTGTTTTTTTTTTTTATTTCTGCTATATAAAAATTAAATGACAAGGTCAACTTCAACTACAGTTCTCCATTAAAGATCAGGGAGAGATTAGCTACACTGTTTGAATGTCATAAAACCTAAAAACACCTCAACTGCTACATTTATGTGGTAGAACAGCAATCTTACTCAGGAAGCATGTCTCAACTAAGAAAAAACTTAGTATTTTTGACTTTATATTCTCATCTCCTTCTTCATTGTTCCCCTGCGCTTCCCCTCACTGCTTCCAGTGTTGGGATTTGGAGCAGACAAGTATAAATCAAAATAAGGCTTTGTTTCTCAAACATCAGTAAGGGATTATTAAATGGTTCCAGAGATGCTTAACCACATGTTATAAGCCATGATGGGAGCCTGTCCCAGAACTCGCTCTGTAGAGATCAGGCTGACCTCAAATTCAGAGAGATCAGCCTGCCTCTATCTCCTGAGGGCTTGAATTAAAGGTATGTTTTACCTCTTGTCTCAAAAACAAACAAATAAAAAACAATCGACAGCACTTCATGGAGAGAACATATTACTTCCCCATTATAAAAGCTGCGTGGAATAATCTCTTTGTACACTGTGAGGATGTCACTCAGACTGGTTTAATAAAAAGCTGAATAGCCAACAGCTTGGCAGGATTTTGGGGGCAGAGAGAATGCTGGGGAAAAGGTAGAGATGCCACAGAGTAAGCAGGATGGACACTTCGGAGATGAGATAATAAAGCCACAAGGTAGAATGTAAACTAAAAAATAAAAATGGGTTAATTTAAGTTATAAGAGCTAGTTAAAAAATAAGCCTAAACTATTGACTGAGCTTTCATAATTAAGAATAAGTATCTGTATCATTATTGGGGAGCCAGTGGTTCCCAAGAAAAAGATCCCAAGACAAAAAGTGTCTGGAATCCTAATTTACTCTTGTGGCCAATAATTTTGTCTTGTGTCTAATACAGTAAGCAGTTTTATCAACAAGCCTGCCATTGTTCTAGAGATAGCTAAATGCAGCATGCTGGGGTGGTTTTTTTTTTTTTTTTTTTTTAAACCAGAGCTGATCACAACTTCAACAACAAGGTCTAGCAAGCCCCTCTCTTGTAATACTTCCCATAGTGGCAGCAAAGGTAATGCAATATTCTCATCCTACAAGTTTCAAATCCTAACTCTGTGAACAGGACCACTCCTGGAAGTGTACATAACTTCCACATTGAGAATTCCGAACCCTTAAGATACAAAAATTCCTGTTTGATGTTCTCCATCTTTAGTATGTTCTCATCTAATTTATCTTCCCTTTCCTCTTATTTTTATGAACAAATGTTGAGCTAGTCATTGGTGAAAATCAACAAACACAAAACAAGAAAAACAAGAGTACAGCCACATCCTTAAATCAATACGGAAATAAAAAGAAATTGAAATGAGGCATATGCAGCAGATGCTGAGGACACGGACACCCTGATCACCTACGGGAAGAAGAGCACTGTCCCTTGCTGCTCTGTACAACACTGGGTTCTGCCCACATGTCATACACTGCTGTTGTGAGTCAGTTCTCAAACCCAGGTCTACTGAACATCAAAGTAGTATGAACAGATCATATAAGAAAGGACAGTGCTTCATGAATCCATTCCCTTCTACTGCGGTTCTCAAGCAGAAACAAAACACAGAAGAAACATGAAGACAGGGAGGGAGAAGGGATGACCGAGAATGCCACAGAAAAGGAGAACACCCCAGGCAGAAAGACTATTTCTGCCAAGATCAGCAGCTGTCTCTTACAGAACAATTTGAAATAAATGATGGCATCAGACACACAAATGCTACAGTGATTCAGTGATGAAATAGTCTAGGAAAGTGCCTCTGAAAGTAAACTGAAAAGCTACTTTTAGGGGTTGATTGCTCCTTAGGTCACCACATTCAGAGAAGCAACTGGGTATCCAAAGGAACAGACAGCAATGAGCTTGTAAGAGGTAGCTGTCTGCTCTATTATTGGGTGCCCAGATAAAATACTAAAAGTTCATAAATGTACTTCAGAAAAGTGGAAAGAAGCCCAGATTTACAATTTTTAATTACCTAATTTCTTTAATAAAAAGACATACTAAACTACCATCTACTAAAAACCTTCCCCCAATACTACTATGTTCTTATTTTTCCTCAATGTCATTTAAGAAACTTTGAAAAGCAAGTTTTTAGTTCTCATAAATACTAATTGTTATACAAAAAGACAATACAGAGAGAGCTCAAATCCCTCTCCTTCACAAACATCAGGTAATTATGTGTTTTCATTTGTTAAATTCATGATAAAAACATCCCAAAGACAAAAGAAAAAAGACTGTCTTGAGGGGCCTGTTGAGATGGCTTACTGCCAAGCTTCACAACCCCACTTCAATCCCCAGGTCCTTAAAACGCAGCTTGTGCTGCCATAATGATCTACCTATAAGTTTAATGAAAACAATGGATGTCAGATAAAATATTAAAACATCAACTAACAAAATCAATGAAAGCTATAATGCTCCAAATTATGTTGTCCTGGTGGACATTTTAAAATTATTACAAGTACTTCCATTCATATTTGTAAAGCACACACAGGAAACAGTTAATGAACACATAGAGTCACTAGGATTGTGGCCCTTCAGATAAATCTCTACCCAGAATTAACAGGATCTAGTTATCCTGGATCCAGTAGCTGATGGAAGCAGAAGCAGACACCCACAGTTTAAGCACTGAACTGAACTCCTGGAATCCATTTACAGAGAAGGAGGAGTAATGAGCGAAGGGGTCAAACCAGAAACCCACAGAAACAGCTAACCTGAACAAGGGGGAGCTCATGGACCCCA